AGAAAAGGGGGGAAAAACTAATTCAAATTTCCCCCCTAAAGAGAAGACCTTCGGACAGTGGGTCAAATGCAGAATAGCTGGCACAGCTGGAACACACTCAGGAGGGCAAAAATGGCCGGCCAGGTCAAAAGGGCCAAAGTGGTCGGCCGGCTAGGCAAGGTGGCCGGCCGACCCGTTCAGGTGGCCGGCCAACCAGGTCAAAAGGTTCAAGGTGGCCGGCCACCCCCTAGGATGAAGCCCCAGAAGTTATCTTTCCAATGCCGCAAACCTTGCATCAAAATTCCTCCTGTGCAAAAAGTTATGCCTGTTTTGGTGAAGCCGCGCAGATTCGGTCCAAACAGACTTTAACCAACCATATCTCCCCCACCCGAACTTGTCCTTAGGAGATTCTTGAGTGAAAAATGAAGCCCCGGAAGTAAGCTTTCCAATGGTGGTAACCTCATATCTTAAATCCAAGTACGCAAAGGGTTATGCTCGTTTCGGTGAAGCCAGGCAGTGTTTTCCTCCTTCCCGGATTCATGCTGAATCATTTTTGACAAAAAAAAACTGGTTTTTCAGAAAAATTGCTGGCCTCCCACTCTCCTACAACCTTTCTAACAACAAAAATAAGGTCTCCACCAAAAATGAACCCAAACCGATGCAAAACGAAGGTTCGGGGGCCAAAACACGCGGTTCGGGGGCCCGAAAACTGACTGTTAAGCACCGGAGGTGGCGTTTGACCACGAAGTTGGTCTCTCGGACCCCAGTGTCCCTCAAAAGGGAGGAAATAATATGTATGCCAAAAATCGGAGCAAACAGAGGTGGTTAAGCGGTCCCAAACCGAGGCACACGGTCGTCGGCTCCGAAAAAACGGAAACCGGGCTCCAAAATGGAAAAATGGCCTACGGCCGCGAAACGTAGCCTACGACCACTGAGAGATGGTCTATGAGACCTCTCCCTCCCTTCTGGAAGAGAAGACAGAGAAAATAGGACCTGGTTCGCAAACCGAGGCAAAGCACAAAAGAGCCCCAAAGTCTGGAGGCAAGGCTCGCAGCCGAGACTCGGCAACCTCAGAACGAGCACAATATGCAACATCAGCAAGTGCTCAATCGGTGACGTCTGAGTCTTCAGGTCGGTCGAAAATGGGGTGTCTACAAAGGTGAAGCAACTGCAAAACAAGTACGCGTCACTGAAAAAGGATTGGCAGTCATGGTCACGCCTGATGGACAGCAGACATGGGCCAACCGGCATAAGTTACAATGAAGCAACTGGTTTGATACAAGCATCCGACGACTGGTGGGCCCATTATGAAAAGGTAATAATTCCATATTCTTCTTTGTAATATCCAACGTGCAAAATTAAATATATGTTACAATATATATTTATAAAAATTCTTCAAACATATTTTAATGTGACCAAAAACAAGAACTAAACTTGGTTAGACTTTTCAACCAACAACCGTTGTTATACTTGCCAAGTGGCCTATCAGTCTCTCTATCTCCCTCCCTATGTATGACTGTTTTCTGAAATTTGTTTAACTGCTTTGTGAGTTTCTGTGGCCAAGTACTTGACTGACTTCACTTCATTAGCTAATGTCAGTACTTCACTAGCTAATGGATTCATTGGTACGTAAGCATGGGCAAACAATCTTAACATTCAATTTGTATTTCCCTTATTGGTGCCACCTCTACTTTTCCAATATTGTGTACATGTCTTCTTTTCTATAAGGCTCTTCGCTGCGTTTAATTGATAGGAAATGAAAGAAATACGAATATGAAAACTATTTTCCTTTTCTGCATACGAAAACGTGGGTTCCACCATTGTCATTTTATTGAAGAAAGTATTTTTTGCTTAAATCATTTCCTATACATAAAAATTGAGATTATGCAGGTGTGGGTGAGTTATAAAAATTTCTGGCTGTCAGAAAAAATAATCTGTCCCACTGACTGTCATAAAACAAGTCGGAGTTAATTTCTTATCATATATTACATTATCTGAAATAGCTCTGAAATTCAAGGGCTTATCAGTAAACATACATTTTGGGGTTTCTCCGAAGATGAGAACTTGTTTTTATTCTCTTTTAACATTCCTGAATTGGATGTATCTAACATCCATGGTCGTGCTATATCTGCTTTCAAGGCCACTGAATAGAAGTAATGTTGGTTTTTATATTTTTTGTTTTTTAGAAGTTCTATTTCTGATTCACAGCAAACTGCTTCATACCAATAAATTGCAAAGTTTCATTATTGATTGGGGGTTATTTATTTCAAGCTTCATTCTATGATATACTTTTGGAAAATATGTCTTACCTTGCATTTCCCCTTTTTTTTTTGGCTTCAGATCCACTGCAGAATTTCAATTCATGAATATTGAAGAATTTTTAGTGACTTGATCTCTGACTTCTACAGTTTTATCTTATCCTGCACTGCTTTCACAATTGGGTTCATAATTTAGCAATCAACTATACTTTATAATCTATACTTATAAACAATGAACATAATCTGGTAATCACTCTGTAAACATCACTGCAAGAATTCAAGCAATCTGGTAACAATTTCTTTTTTACTAAACCTGTAACATAAACAGAATCTTCCATGGCTGTTGTTGTGTTTATCCTCCTTCCTTGATTCACTTCATTATGTTTACGTGTTTTGGTTTTCCCATATTGACAAGAATGCACTGAAGTTCAAAACGAAACCGTTGGAGCATATGGAGCTAATGCGAAGGGTGTACGAAGGTGCAACTGCAACTGGGAAATTCGCATGGACACCAGGGGCAGTGTTCAAACCTGTGGCCACGGAGGACAATCTGTTGCTGGTAGACGAAGAAGACTGCGGAGACAGCAGTGGTTTGCCCCCTTTCCAGCCATCCGCGCAGCATGGACAAACTGTCCACCACAGTTCTACGCAAGAGGAGGACATCCTGGTCAGTGTACATGCTGCGGCATTGCCAAATCACGCTGATGACACACCTACGAGTGGCCAGAGCAAACGTAAATTCAGTCGTACAACACACTCGCAGCGGAAAAAAGGGCAGAGTGTCGGCGCATCGCTCTTGGCGAGTAGCATGGAAAACCTTGCGTCTTCAGTTAAATTACAACACCGAGAAGTCTGCGTGCATCATGAATATGGAGATTTGGCCTCGGACTGCATTCGCAATTGTATGGCAAGGTTGTACTCCCTACAAGGCTTGGACCGGCAAGACCCACTAATCCTTTACGGTATGTCGCTAATGGACAATCCAGCAAATCAGGCAATACTGTTGCAGCTTTCGACGGATGCAGACGTCATTACTTGGCTGCGAATCAAGAAGTCCCACAGTATAGGTGGCCCATCAATGCCAACTCACGGCCCCTGGTTTTGACCGCCTCAGTCATCGGAAATGGCTCATGTTTCATTAATATCCTGCATTAGTTGTTTTAATTGTTGCTACCTCCTATGTTTGTTTTATGTTTATTATTTCCCCTATGCTTGAGAGTGGCTGTTGGATTTTTTTAAAATTATGGAATCGGTGTGTGATGTGTTGGATGTTTAATTGGGACTTTGTATGCAGCAGGCAGGTTATTTATAAATGTGTTGGATGTTTTCTTTTCGTTCCCTTATAAATGTGTTTCGATTCCTAGGTTTTAAGGGATGCTAACAAAGCAGCTTACTGAATAGTGATGACCCACCTTTTATGAATGTGTTGTATATCTGTGGTCTATGGCTATTCAGACCATTCATAGTGATGACCCACCTTTTATTAATAGTGATGACCCACCATTCATGAGCATAGCAGCTGAACGAACATGGATATTCAGAGCTGTAAATGAGGATTCTAACTTCATGTTTACGAGATGCCATTTGCCCCAACTCGTCAAGACTATTGATCTTACAAGACTTTACAGATTGACAACACAGAGCATTGGGGAAATTTTCCGGTGGTGCTCTCAGAAGGAAAAAGCGTTAAATTAATTGAAACATTTCAATTCAACTTAAAGGCAGATGTGTTAATTCGAACTGTTAATGGATAGAGGTTGAATGGAATTAAATCCTTTGTAGTCTGTAAAAAATTAAATGACAATCAGAAATGAAAGAAATATTTGTAAAAACGTGATTCTTAAAAAATTAAAATATTCACACAAAAAAAAAAAGAAAAATGTACTAGTAATTTTGGTTTTATTTTATTTTATTTTTTGTATTAGTATTAGTTAATTTTTTGTAGCAAAATTGGCAAATATTATATTTTCAAAGTGTATATTAGGTGTGTTCACAAATAATTAAAAAAATTGTAACAAAGATGATAATAATGGATGTAAAGTGTTAAAAATATACATACATTTTCGGACAAGAATGGAACTGATAGAGGGAGTCGTAGGCAGATGGACTGGTGCTATTGTTTGTACCTAAATATTTGCCCAAAGATTGTTGTGAACTTCCTTCAATATTGTCCATTTGTGAGTCTTGACAGATGCTACAATTGTAGACCATAGGTTTTTCATGGCAAGTTGTCTTTTTTTTTTTGGTAATGGATGTCACGTGAACACTGTTGCGCTCATGGGAATCTTGACGTGTAAAAATTACATTTTCAGTCAATATGTGCGTACCCTGTATGTGATGGATAGCTTTTGTTATTTTACATTATTAAAATGTCCAGTTTATTATCATGGCAGAAATTAATATGAAAAATACCTTTTTTTTGTTTTTTAATTAGACAAGTTGTCCAGTTTATTAGCATGGCTGCACAAAATATTATTTTGTGGACATTATTAAAATGTTTTTTGGTTCTCACAAAAAAGTAAATCAAACGTGATGGCACCCTTGACAACAATGTCATGAACCTACATACAAAAGCTACGCATTTGTGTAAACATGGCCCCCACAACCTTGGCCATTATATTCTTCCCCTCTTGTCTATTTTATTCCTTCAAGAGTTCACAGTGTGGTTTTCTCTCTCTCCCTCTCTCACCACCAACTTGAATTATTTTATTTGCTTGGAAGTGTTTGAAGTTGTTCACATTTTTCGCCAAACTCAAAGAACAAATGGCAAATGACGCAGGTCCGAGTCACCGCGTTGCACTTTATATTCCCGTCTGGGAAGCTATCGATGAAATTGCGAGGGAAATGGTGGTCGAAACTGATCACAACTTGGTAGAAGCCTATAACAGTGTGCCAAGATATTATTACAACAATTATTACAGAGTCCCTCGAAATACGTCAATGCTTTCGGGACGTTTATGGATGTTTGAGTTGTTTAACGGCCACCAGGGCCGATTTGAAGATAATGTCAGTATGTCACAACCAGTGTTCTTGTTGTTATGCGATTCGCTTCACAGTTTCAGATTGACGGTGTCGGAGCGTGAGCATGGCGTTTCGCTGGAAGAGAAGGTAGCCATTTTTATTTGTGCGTTGCAGGGTCTATCTTGGAAACATTTGCAAGAACGGTTCCAACACTCAAAGGAGACATTGTCACGCAATTTTCATGAGGTAATGCAAGTTATGATACCGTTTACATCGGTTCATAGTAGGAGTCTTACGCCCGAACAAGTACAACAAGGGGGTCATCCACATTTACGGTCACAGCAGCAGTACTGGCCATTCAAGGTGACAATTTCCATAAATGTGCAAAATTTTTTAAAGCTTACAAAAAAACCAGGATGAGGCCAAAATAAAATAGGCTATCAATCACCATCGGCCCAATGGGTGGTATGTATGTCAAACAAAATTAAAAAACAAGTACTAAAATTGTAACATGAATAAAGTATAAAGAGTAGCAAAATAATTTATTCAAAAAGAATTGAAGTCAGCTTGTATATTTGATTTTAAGATAAATTATATTCACATCTGTAAAATAATGAACAAAATTACCGTTAAACGTGTGAATTCTAAATATTTTTTTTTTCTTCACAGTAGTTGTAATTTTGATGGTATTAATAGATGATGAAATTATTATATTATGGTTACATATTTTACATTTCAAACTCTGTTTAACAATAGTTACAAATTAGGTAAATTATAAATATACCTGATGGAATTTGCTTAAAAAACAAATTGTTTGCTGTGATTTGAAAAATCAGAACTACTCCTTCATTTAAAAAATTTATTTTTAACAGAATTAACTTCTCACAATAAAATTTATAATTGCTCTCCTATACATTCTATAAAATAACCTAAATTTAAATGAAACGATTTTTTAACATTATTAAAACTGTTAATTATAAATGATGATTTATTAATAAACTGTTTGACTAACAGATGTGCAATGGTATTATCAACTAACTAGCTTTTTCATTTTAAAAACAGAACAATATAATTTTATAAAGTTGAAAGATTAATAATTGTAATTTTTTTTATTGTTTTCCCCTTTTCTCAAGTCAAAAACCAAGTACAGAATAATGTTGGGCTTCTATGGACTAATCATAGACAGCTTACATTGATTGTGCAAACTATTCGATATATAGCGCTTGTTGAGTACTTATGTTAATATGTTAATTGATTGGTGCGTTGCGTAGGACTGCATCGGTGCATTGGACGGGACGCACGTGATGGCTCGTGTCTCGCAGGAGTACACCACATCATACTATGGCCGGAAAGGCGTGCCGACACAGAATATAATTGTTGTATGCGACTTTAATTTGTGCTTCACATTTGTCTCTGCCGGTTGGGATGGGAGCATGCACGACAGCCGGGTTTTGCACTACGTGACAACCGAAGAGAAACATCGCTTCCCGCACCCTGCACCAGGTACAAAATATTAAACCGAAATATGAATACGTAGAAATTATAAATATAAAAAATTTCCCAAAATGTAGTTTATTTCCCAAAATTCAAAATTTTGGAAAACAACTTAAAAAACATGAAACAAATGAAAATGAAAAATTTTCAAAAACAATTAAGTGGTATATAAGAATGTGAAAATGAAAATGAGATGTTATAATTTATTGTTTACAATTTTTTGCAAAAGTACTCTTTTATAGAAATGCTGTTAATGAATTAGAAAGTAATTATAAATATGTTTGCGTAATTGGAATTATAATTGTTCACAACAAAAGAACTTCACAATGAAATTATAATTGAAAACAAAATTGGGATAAGAACAATTTTTATTAATGAAAATGTAATTGTCCAAAAAAAAATTATTATAATTCACAAACAATGCTGTAATTGGGAATATAATTTTTGAGAACAAAAGGAATTGGGAGAAGGAGTAATTGAAAACAAAATTGGGAAAATATTAATTTAGAAATGGAGAAATTATTCAACAAAAGAATTAATTATTAAAAAAAAAACATTACGAACCAATGCAAGTTAATTGAAGAATAATTTAAGTGGTACAGAATACAGTCAAATTGAAAATGAAATGAAACAAATTTTGCAGGAAAATACTATTTGGTGGATAGTGGTTACAGCAACAAGACAGGGTACCTAGCCCCCTACAAGGGGTATAGGCATCACCAAAATGCCCATCGAAATCGAACACCGCAGAATCAGTTCGAAATGTTCAACAAGGCACATTCGTCACTGCGTAGTTGTATTGAGCGGACATTCGGTGCCTGGAAGTCTAAGTGGGGGGCATTGCGGAATATGCAGAAGTTAAGTTTTTCTAATCAAGTTACGTTTGTATGTGCATCGATGGCGTTACATAACTTCATACGCCGACATAGCGAACTTGATGAGGTCATGATGGGTATCCCAGACCGTGACGATTACGTGGCCCCCCAAATGCCCGACCACGACGAATACACACGGGTTGCTGATGTGATGGAGGAAGAGGACTCAGACCCTGCAATGGCCACTGTAAGGGTGAACATTACTAACGCACTGGTACGGCAAGCACACCGGTAGGGGCGAATTGGAAATACAAGAATATTGGTTGAAGGTTTTTGCAGTATCTTTTATAATAATTTGTTCTCAACCTGCCTATGCCAAAAAATAATTTCTAGCCATTTGTCAGAAAAAAAACAAAACATAAAAAAAAGAAAAGGAAATTTGCATGACTAGGCATGTACATGGTTTCTCTTTTTTATTCACATGTTATGATATGAATTCACGAAAATACAGAGCAGACCTGTTCCACTCGTTTCCAATTTTCGGACAATAATGGAACAATTGCAACCTCTGCTTGAATAAAAAAATTTAATAATGAATACAAAGAGGAAAACAACGAAAAAAGAAAAAATTTCACGACAAATGAAAAGAATACCAAAAAATGACAAAAAAAAGGAAAACAATAAACCAAAATTAATAATGTTAAAAGAGTAAAAAATAAAATGAAAATGTTGAAAGGAAAATAAAAAAAGGAAAAGAATAAAAAAAAATTATTGACTAAAAAAGGAAAAGAAAAAAACCAAAATTAAAACGAACATAACGAAAAAAAAAAATTGAATAAAACAACGAAAAGAAAAAAAAAATTAATAATGTCAAAAGGAAAAGAATAAAAATTTTAATAATGTTAAAAGGAAAAGAATAAAAAAATAATAATGTTAAAATGAGAAGAATACTGACAGAAATCCAAAAAAAATTATGTTAAAAGGAAAAGAATGGAAACAAAAAAAAAAATTAATACAAAAAATAATAAAAATCTTTAAAAAAGGAAAAAATATTTGTTTCCGTGCTTGTGAAAACAAATAATAATGGTATTGAAAAAATAAATTCTTTCAAAAAGAAAAATAAAAAAAACAAAAATGTTAAAAGGAAAAAAAAAATGACGATAAAAGAAAAAAAAATTAAAAGGAAAAGAATGAACATAGAAAACAAGGAATGCAAACCATTGCATAGTGCTTATTTTTCTGAATAAAAAAATTTGAATTGAAAGTACCGTTGCACTTGGTTGACAGCCACGAATCACAAGTACGCGACACGTGTTTCTGTTTATGTGTCAGTTGGGAAGGGTAAAAGAGACATTTTACCATGTGTAATAATATTATATTGCACACATTTTCATGAAAAGTCAAAAAGTTAACCCAAACCTCCATATTTTTTTCCTTAAATTTTTAGACCAAAAAGACAAAAAGTGCACTTAGTTAGTGACCTGGTCGCTCAAGCATAGAAAAGAAACTCTCAGAATCTCTAACAATCGTGCAGTTCGCTCAAGCGAAGAAAATCTCGCTCGAGCGAGCTTGCTTCTAGCACAGAAACTGAAAATTCAAACAGGTATAACTCTCTTGTTCAGACTCTGTTTTAGGTCGTTCTAGTATCCAAATCGAAGCTCCGGAAACAAGATTTCTAATGGTTCTGGCCTCACATTCAAATTCAAAGTATGGAAGGAGAAAATGGAAAAAGAGTGAAGGTTGGTCAAAAAATAAAACCAAATTTGGAGCTTTTGATCTAATCTTGCCTAAATACCTTGTTAAGGCTTCGATCAAGTTTCCAAACATCACCCAAGGGTCCTCAATTATAATATTTAAGATTCACTTTGCCAATATGTAGACACTCCATTTTTGACCATCCTCAAGACTTGGACGTCATCGTTTGAACACTGGATGATCATCCATGTTCATGTTCGTTTTGAGTTCCCGGAGGCCCCG